TTATATCAGCAATCAGAAATTCAAAACCCAAAATAAATCCTCCCTATTTGACCTGCACTTAACAGAGAGTAAAAATCAAGATAATAGAGATAAATGAATTAATTAGAACGCCACAAGAAGAATCTTGATAAGTTAAAATCAATTCCAGAAAAGAGAATGATGAAGATGCCAAAAGTTACCTAGATAAATAGACATCAATTCCCTAATCAATAAGAAGGTTAAATAAAACTTCATTAGTTAAAAACTAAAACTGCATAATTTTATTGATTAAAATTTTAATTATAATAGTAGGAATTGATGACCTATTTATAGTGTAAGCCATGTGAATAATAAAAAAAATATATCCCAATTTAATGGATAAATTACGTATGAAATTAAATATATAATAGAATAGGAAAACTACCAAAATTAAAAGAATTACAACTAAAATAAGATAAATATGATCTCCCATTTTGAATAAAAAAGATTTTAATTGATTTCGGAGATTTAGGAAAAAAAATTCTAGTAAAATATTTTCCTTTTTTTCAAACATTTTCCTTTTCCATAAGATTTGACATTTAATGAAGTTTTCTATTTCTCAAGACATATTGTAAGTTCGAATCAATTTTCTTCCTTGGTCGATTCTTCTTCTCAGGAATACATATATTTCGTGTGATTAGGAAAGAAAATCCCAATGGGGGGCTTTTTTTTCCCTGCTCGCACCATCCTCCCTCTTCGAAAATGATTTGTCCTCTAATCGGACACTTATTATGTTGAGGTTTCACTAATTCTACTTTCTTTGAGAAAATGTCATCACCTGGAAAATTGTATAAGGTCATTTTGAAAATCTATAAGGAATGGTTAATAAAGAAAATAATACTTCTTTATATGTTTCATTCTTTGTATTTCACTCAACTTTCTTCTTTCAAGTTGAATGATAGAATTAAATTCTCTTAAATCAAGATAATCAAGTTTTGTTTAAGAAATTCTAATTGAGAAAAGTAGCAAATGACTTTAGATGATGATTGATAAACACACAGATGTAGATGTATAATATTTAATAACTAGTAGATAATTAATTACTTAGTGATATAGTAGAATAAAAAAACACAATGAAGGAAAGAAGCTTAGAGTGCAAGAAAGACAATATGAATATAACTTTTTTTTATGCATATGAACGGATGCAAAATATTTTTTCCTTTTTCTACTATGAAGAATAAAAAAATGTAGGGATAAAAGATATGAGATAGTAAGGTTCATCTTAACGCTAAACTCTAATATCAAATGATATGGAACCCAGGATCAACAACGGAATCCAAAACCCCACATATAATGATGTTAAACTTGGGATCAACTAATATGATCAAAAATTTTGTATATAAATCAGCAACCAGAAACTCAAAATCCTAAATAAATCATCCATACTTGACCCGCACTCAATAGGGAGTGAAGACTAAGATAATATAAATAAATGAATTGATTCGAATGCTATAAGAAGAATTTTGATAAGTTAAAATCAATTCAAGAAAAGAAAATGATGACGATGCTGCAAGTTACTTTGATAAGTAAACATCAATTTCTCGCTCAACAAGAAGGTTGAAGAAAACATCACTAGTTAAAAATTAAAATTTCATAATTTTATTGATTGAAACTTCAATTATTATAAGTAGGAATTGATGACATATTTATAGTGTAGAACATGTAAATAATAAAGAAAATAATATTCTAATTTAATAAAAAAATTACATAAGAATTTAAATATAAAATAGAATAGGAAAAGTAGTAAAATTATGAGAATAAAAACTAAAATAGAATATATATATATATATATATATATATGATCTTTTTTAAATAGAGAAGATCTTAATTAATTATAAAGATTTAGGAAAAGAAATTCTCACAAGATATTTTTCTTTTTTTCAAGTGTTTTTTTTTTCTATAAGATTTGACATTTAATGAATTTTTCTATTTCTTAAGATATCTTACGATTTACGATCAATTTCTTTCTTTAGTCAATTCTCTCTCTCAAGAAGACATATTTTCCGTGAGATTAGAAAAGAAAATCCATGGGAGTTTTTCTTTTCCTTGCTGACATCAAGGAACTTCTTTGCCGATAACTTAGCGAGATCAGGATTGAGAGAGTGAGATGATTGCTTGGTTGTGAGTCTTGTCATTTATTTTGCTTAGCTTTTAGTTTCATTTAGGCACTTTTTTCTTTTTTGTTTGTTTATCTCTTTTTTAGTGTAGGTTCTTGATTTCTCTTTCCATGCAGTATTTTAATTGTTTTTATCTTTTTGTTATTCCCTGTTAGTTATTACATACTTTCATGTGGTTCAACCAGCTCTGCAGCATTCTTACGAGATCTTGCTAGCCTCAGGTACAATGGCTTCTTTGTGCTCCTTTACGTTCCTTATTGTAGGTTGGTGTCCTTTTTGCATTGGGTAGATGATTCTTTATTTCTTATTTATGCATTGTCCTTGTACAAGATTATAAAACATAGTACAAAATATTCTCTTGTAGTTTATTAGTTGATTTTATATATATTAGCGCAAGCGAACAAATTAGTAGGGTGTTTTATGATGTTACTTTTTCATGTATATGTATATCCCTGTTCCATTGGAATAAATGATAAGAATTATTTTTAGTTAATTTTTTTTTTATTAGTTTACATGGCATCGGAGGCAGATTAGGTTATATCAATGAACGGATTCAACAACGGTTCTCGGAACTGGCGGCGGTTGACAGAAACAACCTCCAACCTTCTTGTCTGTGGCTGACGTGGAGGTGAAGCAGAAGAAGCACGACCCGTATCGTGGTTAAACCGAAAGAAGCTGGATTGGCATAAAACAGAACTGCGCGGCTGCTTTTATTCACGTCTGACTCTTCTGCGCGCAGGATCTCCGACCTAAACTGTTCAGATTAGTTACGTGTGCGGCCGTTGCAGTGGCAAAGTGGGAGGAGCTAGATTTGTGCAAAGACAGAAGCCGGTCACATGATCTTCCTATGCACATCTGGAACCGAAAAACGAGAGGCCGCCTCGAAGGCTGAAGCTGAAAAGGCGTCTACTAGAATGCTGGAGGAGGAAGTGCGGTTACAACCATGTTGGGTGAAAGCCAGATACCAACAATTTTCAGCACGATTTCACAAGATCCATTCCAGATCTGAGTGCACCACGGATATGCGGTGATTTTCAATCAAATTGTAGCTGCTCGCGATGGTTCTGGCAGAGGCTCGTGGTGGTTCTGGCAGAGGCGCATGGTGGTTCTTGCGGCGGTGTGTGAGATTCTAGAGACGGCGAATACGATCGTGCGTGGAGTTTTCCGGTGGTTTCTGTTCTAGAGTGTGGTATTTTTTTAGTTGTTGGATTTCTAGTTGTTTTGGGTTTCCGATAGTTCGAAAATAAGATTTGCACTTACCAAGTCATTGAAACCTTAATGATGTAACACTGAACCATAAAATTATGAGCAAATGACCAAACGAACAATAATAGTCAAATAAATATTAAGAAAACGACCACCCTATTTAGTTTCTTTTTTTTATTATTTTATTTATTTTCAATAGTTTGAATCCGATCAAGGCAAAATTTACACGGTACTTATTAGGGTTGGCTTTGAGTTTAGATTTTAAAAACTCAACCTATATATATATATATATATATACACACGCGCGCACGCTTATCATTATTTTTTGTTAAAGTTTTTTATATATATATTTTGTTAAATTTATTATTGGCCTAATTAATTAATTAATATGCATATTTCATGTTAATTCATATTTTTTGAAGAACTTAGACGTGACAAAATCATACAAAGTTACGAAATTAACCTTTTAGCATCTGTATAACAAATAAAGAAAGGAATAAAAAAAATAATAAGAGAAAGTGGTGGCTAGGAAAATCTAACATCTTGTAATACTTACAATCCCAACCTAAAGAACCCTTTTTCCTTTCAATTTTCAAGTAGAAAAAAAGTAATATTGTTATTTAAATAATCAAAACTATTGTTTAATTAATTAATTAATTAATTTTTTTTTGTGAGTTTCACTCAAATTGTATTTTTCTATTTAATTAAAATTTTAGAACAAGCTAAAAAATAGCATCATCATTTTACTTATTGAGGAGTTTAGGTCAAAAGAAAACAATGTCATTTCATGAAAATTTGGATGTTAAAGTGCAACCATGTTGACCATATTAAATGGGGATTAGCAGAAATAACAAAATAGATTTCTAAAACAAAAATCCTAAGTTCATTCAAAATTGAAAGAAACTCAAAAGTTAGGTTCATCATTATTGTTCTTTCATTAAATTGAAATTGAAGTGTATCTTCATTGAAGGATATAAAAGGTCATATTTTTTCTGTTAAATTAAAATATATGCATGAACATTAATTAAATGTTTGGTGGGTCTGTTTTTTGAAACTACTCTCGCAATAATGAAGGCAGCATGTAGATGTACACTTAATAAATTTTAGGGAGAGAAAGAAGGCTCTGCCTCAATTTCAATTACTCTAAACTGGGAAATTTTGCAAGATCCTCCGGTCAAATTCAGACACCCATATTATGATAAGAATAATTGACCCTTTGTTTTTTTTTTTTTTTTTTTTTTGTTTGACAGAGAGAATATATATATATATATATATATAAAACATATTAAACTAAATATGGGTGTACTAGTGGGCATCCGAGTCTGCCTGCAGCTGCTTCTGGAAACATCTGAGAGTTTAATTTCCTTTATTTTCCCCAACCCAAAAAACAATGTCTTTTTCAGTTGGAAAGACTTCTTCGACTGCATTTTCCCTGTTGTTTTTATTTGTCTTTTTAACAAAAAGATTTGATTTTGATATTATTTTTTCTCTCGTCACCCATCACGACTCTTCCCCATTTCTTGCAAATTCCGCCATAAGACTACCTCCACCTCCTTCCTCCCCTGTTTCTCCTTCTCGCTTTTATTGAATAAACATGAGTTTGACTTTCGAAATTTCTCTCTCAATGACACGGCATCTTCCCCTTATTCACCCACCGTTATGGAAGGAAACAGTTTGCAGATTCCATACATCTCTTCCCCTCGCTATCTACGCCTGCATGTATGTATGCGCGTGGTTTCTCTCTCTGATTTGGCTTTTGAGTAGAACCCAGTAAGTCCTGACAACCTTAGATACTGTA